GGGGGGGGGGGGGGGGGTGTCAGTGTGAGTCTGCGGACCGCAGGCCATCTGGGACCGCAGGCCCGGCTTGCGGTAGGCATGTGTTGCACATCTGTTGAGTGTGATGAGCTAGGATGATATGGGCGCCTGGCTGTGGAGTGTGGTCTCCTAGTCACTCGTGAGGCCCTTTTCTCCCCCGGGCGGGGGTGGGGGACTGAGTGCCACCTCTCACTCTGCACATCTTGTTCCTGACTTGTCTGGAGGATGGGCCTCTCACCCGAGTCCCCGAAGCTGCATCGTATGGACATGTGCAGATATTTAAGTTTGTGTGACATCAATAGTTTTTACTTTTCTTCCTGTGTACGAACTTTTTTTTACCAGGACAAGGAGAAATAACTTTTAAATGCTTTTTTACAATTTGTATTGCAAAGGAACGGCTTGTGTTCCCTTAAACGGAAAAAAAAAATGGTAACAAAAAAATGCCACTTATCTGCATCATAGAATTGAAATGGCGTGTGTGGTGTTTAATAGTGTACGACACTTACGCGTGTCATCTCCCTTCTGCTGTTTTCAAAGTTGGACTGCCTGATCCAGTTGGTGAGAGCTGGGGCCACTCTGGACGTGTCCACGACGCGCTACGCACAGACCCCAGCCCACATCGCCGCTTTTGGGGGACACCCTCAGTGCCTCATCTGGTTGATCCAAGCTGGAGCCAGCATTAACAAACCGGTAAGGGAGTGCCGGTGATTAACTTGGTTTTTATTTTCTTTTTCTACTTGTAATTACATGGTGTTGAGTTTTAAAGTGAGGCCTTAATTAGAGTTTGATATCTTAACCTTTGGGCTAACTGGAATTTCTGTTTATTGAGTTACTTGTGGATAATAGGCCCTTCACAGAGCAGGGCTTTCTGTTTACAGAGTGCTTTCACCTGCTCGGGGACTTAGAGCCTTGGTGACCCCAGGTGATTTGCCCCCAGTTACAGCTGGTGACTGAAGGAGTCTGGCCTGGAGCCCGGGTTTCCTGGCTCCCCTGCTCACAGCTGCCTTCGCTTCATGTGCACAGATCCTTGTGAAACACACCCGTGCTGGCGAAGAAGTGGCTATTAAATCTTGTGCGTGGTTAAGTTATGGTGAGCGAGCCGACCAGTGTTGAGTCAGGACTGCTTCAGGGAGCAGTTGGGGGTGGAGATTGGACGCAGTTAAGTAGCAGGTGTCGTGTGGTCACCCGGACAGCAGGCGTGCAGGGATTGTGTGTTGAAGTGTGCAAGCATGAGTGTGCACGTGCGTGTACTTCATGGTGTGTTCTCACTACTCCTTTCACTTCCTTGAAAAAACCTCAAGGAGAGAGTTTTGCTTACTGGGGACTTGTGGGTGAACAGGTGTAGACGACTCAGGCTAGTCTGACCAAAGTGGTCCCAGGGGGAGACCCTGCCCTGAGGGTCAGTTCATCTAAGGGGCTTGTGCCTCAGGCTCTGTGGGGATGCCTTTATTGCCTTCCTAGTTTTCTCTTTACCCTGGTTTTATATGTTTTTTCTACTAATCATCATCAGGGGCCTACTGTGTGCAAAACCATTTTTATTTCTTCTCCACGTTTCTGTCTGAAGATTCATCCCTTGATGGGAAGCAGGTGTAACAGCTTGTGAGCCCTCTCTTCTCAGTAACTCAGCTGCACACCTCCAAGCCCATGATTGAGGAAAGGCTTTTGTATCGGTGCTGTAGAGCAGGGATCGGGGGACAGGGGGTGACCGCACATGCCGCTGCTCTTACCAGAGGCTCTGGCTGTCTGCTCCACACGGTTATGGCGCCAGGAGTCGCCTGTCCCAACCTGCCTGTCCCGGTGCTGTTTCTCTCCTCCCCAACCTCCTGGCAGAACCCTGGGGGTGGCCACCTCCCCCACTCTCTGGCCTGGGGCAGCTCCTTGTTCTGTGGCTCAGTCTCCTTGTCGACAGAATGTGGATCATCCACAAATGGTAGTGATTAATAACTAATGTTAATGTGGAATTTAAAACATTGGGTTAATTTTCATTCAGTTGTGACATAGCATCTAATTTACAGAGATCTGAAGAAAATCTAAAGAAATTGGCGCTGCCTTTCAGATCTTTTTAAATCTAGAAGAGTCCGTTTTCAGGTAACATGTTACAGCAGCGCAGTCCTTATCCTGGACGACAGGACTGCTCTAGATAGTCCTGTGTGGACACCCTCCGGCGTCCTGCTCCCAGGACAGGAGTCCCCAGACCTCACTCCCTGTTGCTCCCCTCAAGTCCTCTCCCTTCCGAGGTGGTCACCTGGGGTTACCAGCGTCCTGCCCTTGTTCTTGAAAGGGTCTCAGTTGTGGTCTCCCATGTTACGCATGTGTTAGGCTGCGGGCTGAGTCTCAGATGCCGGCTTGCTCTGGATTAGCGGCTGGCCTGCTGGGACAGGCACCCAGCGACCTCTGAGGTCACACAGCCCTTTCGTTAGCCACCCCCAGCAAGTGTTGACTCACCCTAAGGTAGACACTTTCTCATCTCCCACACAGACGGTCAGAAAATCAGGTCCAGGGTTCTCTAAAGTTTTCTGTTTGTGTGTGTAGTGGATTTGAACCTCCCCTAGCATTTCTTCTTACAACTGTTTTATTAGTTTTGACCCATCTTTTTTTTTTTTTCTTTTTTAATGTTTATCTTAGAGCATGAGCAGGGGAGGGGCAGAGAGAGAGAGAGAGAGAGACAGACAGTGTGGAACAGGCTCCAGGTTCTGAGCTGTTTGCACAAAGCCTGACGTCGGGCTCAAACCCACAAACCTCGAGATCGTGACCTAGGGAGATCGAGATCCAAACCTCGAGATCCAAAATTGGATGCCCCCGTTTTGACCCATCTTCTAACCTAATCTTGTGGCATATTAGTTCCTACCTGTTCTAAATTCATTTTTCTCGAGTTTCACAGAGACTTCCTTTGCTATCTGTGAACTTGGCACATGGGGTTACTGGACTCAGATGTCCTGTCTGAAGGCTCAGAGTCGTGCATTTACCCAGAGAGGGAGTGAGGCAAGTTTTCAGGGGATTTGTTCTTGGTCACTTTTGTGTGGACTACCCACGGGCATCACTTTTCGTATTATTTACAGGCCATGCCTTTAATGTCTTCCTAGAACTTTGGTGGAATTTGATACCCCTTTTAGTTTCTTGTAATTGGATTAGAACTAGACTTTTCTTTCTTTAGAATGCAAGGTGACTCATCTATCTTTGCACTCCTGGCACCTCTCCCACTTTCCTCTCTTACTCAGTTTGCCCACAATAGTTCCGGAATCAGACGACACCATATTTGATATTTTTGGAATGTGACTGGCCTGAACCTGAGCCTTGAGTAGCCTTAAAATGGCTCTTCAGTCTTCCTCTCTGGCTGCACTTCTCTGTGGTGTCTGCTCTTCCTGCCCGGCTGGACGGTGCTGTCCTCGCAGGGCACAGAGCAGGAGCTGGTTTGCTCTGTCCTGTCTGTTGCTGTCCTGCCGTCTTGAAGTAATAGAGCAAACCTTTGCCTTTTCTCCTTGCTGCAAAGAGAGCTGAAAAAACCCTTTCCTGTTTTCTTGGGGGAGGGAGTCAGGGGTGGCACGACCCCCCCCCCCCCCCCCCCCCCCCCCCCCCCCCCCCCCCCCCCCGCCCCCTCCCACATCTCCATTCCACTCTTCCTGGCCATACCTCTGTGTCATCTTTATTTGTCCTTGTCATGTGCCTCCCATCCCCCCTTCCCACCTTTCTGGGAGGATAGAGATGGGTTTCTGCTTTATTAAGGGTCTCCATTCACTAGATGGTTTCCTGTGTAGCCACATGAGATTCTGTGTTTTTTGCTTCAAAAATGGGCTTGTTCTGTTTAGAACTATACACCCCCTTTGAGCTTTTTTTTCTTTTTTTCTTTTTTTTAAAGTAATGTGCATACTTTTTCTCCCCACTGCACACCGGAGTCTTTCACAGCACATCTTTCTGGAAAATAAGCTACCGCCCCGCACCCTGGAGTGTCCCCTGCGAGCCCATGTGCAAGCCCGTGTACACCGGAAGAAGTGGCCCCCTGCTGTGTCTCGCTGGTGAATGAGCTGCTCTCTGAGCGCCACGCCAGGTGCACAGCGGCCCCCCCTTTGTTACGTGCGGTCGTCTGCTGCCAAGTTCAGCTTCCAGGGACAGTGAAGTGTGAGGACTTGGTCAGCATTTCCCCGCCAGGAAGTCCTACAACAGAAACGACTTCCTTCTCTGTCTGCTGTATCTTTCTCTACCTCCTCTGTACCCGAGAACCTATGAATGAAATTGTGTTTTGGATTTCTTCCCATTCATACAGTGTGAACTGTGAACTAACTCCTCCTCACAGTCCTTCCCCAGGGTCTGGTCTCTCTCTGCTGTCTCCAGCGTGAATCTCTCTGACACAGACTTTCTCCCGGTCCTTGGACAAAGTTGCCCATCACACGCATCCTGAGTTTGGATGTGAAGCTGGCTGTGTGCGGCCCTGTGTTCTCTCTCTCTCCTCATTCCTGACCCTTTAGCCTCCGCCATCACGGTCTGAATTCAAGTTCAAGGCAGAAAATGCAAAGGAGCCACTGGTGATGCCCCAGCTCAGGCCAGCCCTGTGGTAGACGTGGACCAGACCAGACGTTTGACATTATGTCCTGTGTTCTTGGCCTTGGTTACTCTTTTCTCTTTAACCTGTTAGAGGATGGTTGTTTGGGGTTTTACATACGACACATTTGTGCTAAGATCTAGCATAAGATCATTTCTAAACTTCTGTCCTGCACGTACGTGCCGTCCCTGCTGACTGAGGAATCAAGGCGAACCTGCCCCTTCCCTGGCGGACTGTGTTTTCCCTCCCGCATCTCTAGCCACATTTCTTTGTGCCCTGCTTGCGCTTTGACTCACCATGTTGCTTGGTTTCAGAGGTGAATGAGGCACGTATTTTATTCCAAATGTCAGAGTCTTGTTGGAGCTGATATTTTGCGTGTGCTCTTTCTTGTTTCAGGACTGTGAGGGCGAGACCCCCATTCACAAGGCGGCCCGCTCTGGGAGCCTGGACTGCGTCAGCGCCCTGGTGGCTAACGGGGCTCACGTCGAGTAAGTGCCTCCGCACATTCCTCCCCCGAAGATGTAGTCAGGGCGCTGTGCTTCCAGAAAGCACCACTGAGGGCAAGCAGCAGTCCTCAAGTTTGTGTTTATATTAGCAATGGAACTGTGCTTTGTAGACCAGTTGGTGTTAGCGAGGCTTCACTGCGGGTTGACGATTAGCAGAGGGAGCTTCATCACAGCAGCCGCAGAACTGTTGCCACGACAGGATGCCAGGGTGGAAATGGCAGTTAACTCCTTAAATTTGGAACCTGGCATTGTTGACTTGGCCACCAACTAGTTGTGTCACCATGGGCAAGTCTTCAGACTTCTTTTTGCCAGTGTTAATTTCAAAATGGGGGCCTTGGATTGGGTTAGAGAATCTTTTCCAGCCTCTCCGGTCCCAAAATTCTTGCAGACAGTTTGCTTTTCTAAGTTGTGATTTTCTCATCTTTAGCAGATGTGAGTCAAAGCCTATTTTGACTTTTAATGATTTATAACTTCTCATAAAATGGAACCATATACGTTAAAGACTCGAGACTCATTCTGAGTTCTTCACGCTGATGACATTATTGCAATCGTGTTTTCTCCCAGTTTACATCAGCTAGTTTACTTATGGTTTGATAGAACAGTGTTAATATTTGTATTAATTTGAAGATGTGATCTTATATGCAAACATCATTAGCTAGTCATGGCAGTGGGCATTTAGTTTAGATATTAAATTCATTTGTATTAACTTTCTCTTAAAGATTTATATTGTAAAAATTTTTCTTCTGCAGTTCACAGCATTAACAAAATGGATGCGGTTTTCACCCTTAAATGTTGAGTGTAAGCTATAGAGCTGTAATAACCAAAATAACTATAATATCAGCTTTTTTGTTTTACCCTGTCTAGAATATCTCATAAGAATTAATTACAAACCACTTTATTCTAATTGGAAATGTGAAAATTTAGACTTTGGGAGAAATAAACCCACAAAACTAACTTAGTTTAACCCTTTGGTTTCCACTTCATTGTTTTGACTCTGTGTTGTAATACATTTATTGAAATTAGATCCTGGACAGCAAAACCATATAGATTAATGCGAAGCCTATTATAGGCTGTAATCTCAGGGGCTGTCGTTAGACTCCTAGTGTCTGAGCTTCTGTTTCATTAAGTATTATATTATTAAGCCAAGTCATTAGTTTGGGCTTGGAATTTTTACTTACATAGAAATTTAGTATGATAAATATGCCCTGTGTTAACTGTTACGTTGCAGGGAACCTCGTGACTTCATATGTAATTATGACTTAAGGTAATGTAGAAACAATTGATAATATGAATATATATTATACAATTTGAGACGATGCTCATTGGATTGCTTCACAGTGAAGTTATATTCATAGTTTTCTTAGCTGTGTTTAGATTAAAAACTAAAATCTTTAATAACAGAAGCTTTGATTATGAAATACAGAGTCATAAAATAAATGATTAAATCACTTGTCATTTATTGAAATAATGAATAATTAGAAGTTGACCTCTTTAACGACTTATTTTTCTAAACTATAGTCTAATCGATCCTGAACATTTTATTACTAAGATGTTAGTTTTCTTCATTTCAGTGAATAGCTTAATCCTTTGAGCCAATAAATATTTATCGTAAATAATATCTTTTTTTTAATAGGTGTCTTTTTAAAATGAGAACCTTTTATTTATAATTCTGTCCTTGGTTACAGGACCCTCGAGTGTCTCTTTTCCACCAAGTGTGACTGAGCACAGCCTCGAGTGCCAGTCTGTTTTTCCTTCTCAGTATAAGAGCCTCTCCCTCGAGACCCTGCATTATGGTGATCTCCCTTGCCTGAACCTTCAGATGGTTTTTAGAAGAAATATTTAGACTGAGCCACCTAGCCAAAAGCGATTCTTAAAATTCTAAGTCTTTGGCCTGGAGACAGAGCACACAAGTAATCATTATTTATTGCTGTTGTTTATGTGGTTATTTAGTTTAACATCTGGATAAATTGCCAGTTTTGCTAGTAAGCTAATTTGTAAATTGCTTTTTGATATCTGTTTTGCACACTAAACTATAAAGTGTAACACAGCCTACCAACAAATAACAGTTTGTGTCCCCCAAATTATGGTACTTAGATCTATTTTACTTGTTTCCTGTAATGCTCCTCATGGTAAAGAGTAGTCGTGGCAAATAAAATGCCTTTTGTTTGTTTGGTTTTTTTAAAGACAGTCACGGGGGACAGTATTAATTTACTTACCTAAAGTTACTTATGTTTTTTCCAGTTCAGAATGGGCCAGATTCTTAATTCTTCATACTACATGCTATGATATTTAGGAGATGATATAAACTTTTCCTTTTCCTGCGAATAGATTAAAAGCTGTCTCATGTCAGTATTTTGTCACACTTGGTGGTAATTATTAATTTTGTTATTAATTCCTACTTTTTTTTTTTTTTTTTTTTTTTTTTTTATGTATCAGCTGCATAAAGTGGCCACAGTCTTAAGTTGCTGCTTTTTTGGTCATTGGGTAGATAATGGTGAGGGCAAGCGTACCAGGCGTCTGTGGCTAGAATGGTTTGTTCTATAACTTACTTGTCAATATAGGCCGCATCTGTAAGATAACGCATGTCAGCTGCTGTGCATCGTGTGTTACATTTTCTAGCACCACACGTGAGTATGTTGATGGAGTTTTTTTTTTTTCCTTTTCTTATTTTACATCTTGAGTTTTGGTGCCAAGTTTTCTTTTTCTCGTGAGGTTTTGTTATCTGGCTTAGATGATGGTCATTGTTATTTACCACTGTTTACGTCCAAAAAGAAAAATAACACGGGAGTAAGTGGCAGTTCTGTGAGCACACTGTGTGTGTGTGGACTTTAAATTACCAGCATCTCTGCAGATTGTCCTCAGCCCCATCCTCCTCCAGTATGTCAAGTGTGGGGTGTCCATACGTCAGTTACTTGTCCCTGTCCCCAGCCTTGCTTACCTGACAGTTGACTTTGTCTTGCAGGCCAAACCTGAACGCTGCCCACATGGAGGGCATGTGAACAGTCACTGCCCCATTTTTCTTTTCGACACTCAAATAAGTAATAGTATAAGATTAAGTCTTCATGTGATTTTGGAGACAGACTTGAAAACTTGCCGACTGCCTGTGGATAATTAAGGACACCTTCTTACTGCTGATGTTGTAAACTGACATTTCAAGCCTTGGATTATCTTTACTTTCAGTATTTTGGCACCAGTGTTTTCTTGAGAGGTAAAGTGGAAAACCTTTCCGTGTCAACCACATATTGAGATAGCTTTTTTCCTGCCTCTGAGTAGACCTGAAGGGACTCTGCGGGGCTTCGAGTGCATCTAGATGTGCTTGGGTCTCAGGCACATTTGCTGGTCCTTTCCATGCCATGACATACGGGCACTAGTGTGTAATTAGGTCATGGCAGGGTCTCCGTGGCTTCGGATAAGAGAGCGTTTCCGGGGAGGCCACTGATTCCATGGTGACCAGACCTTCTAATGGGCTACGTATATTTTAACTTAATTGTTTTGATCCCAAGAGGAACTTAACTGTGGTCATCAGATAACTGGAGAAGCACCAATAGCCTTATGTAAGCAAGTTCAGTGACTCACTCTAAAAAAATCTCTCTTGCCTAATTTAGAAAACAGGCACAGTCGGCTGTAGGAACAAAAGTCTGCACTGTGGTCTTGATAGGTTTTTGTTTAATGTTACAAAAACTGTATACATACTACCGAACTTCCAGACGTCCTTAACTGAAATTCAGTTGGTTTAGTTTGGCTCCTAAGTGGTGGTCATATCTATGTGACCCAGCCTGCGTCCTTGCCTGTAGAGCCCTGTCTGGAAGCAGAATTCCCCTTAGGGCATTTACGTGTGATGAACAGATTGGATGTTCCTTGTGGCAAGTTTGTTTGCAACTCTTGCCCAGAATTATTTTATTAGCCATTCATTCATGTTTGAAATTTGTGGTTTCTATTCATTTGTTCACTTATTTGCCCTTAAGAATAACAGTCTATGGGGGCGCCTGGGTGGCGCAGTCGGTTAAGCGTCCGACTTCAGCCAGGTCACGATCTCGCGGTCCGTGAGTTCGAGCCCCGCGTCGGGCTCTGGGCTGATGGCTCAGAGCCTGGAGCCTGTTTCCGATTCTGTGTCTCCCTCTCTCATTCATGCTCTGTCTCTCTCTGTCCCAAAAAATAAATAAACGTTGAAAAAAAAAAAAAAAAAAAAAAAAAAAAGAATAACAGTCTATGAAATTTACCGGAATTGGAACTCTGAATTAGTTTCTGATTTTGTATCCTCTGCATTCCAGTCCTGCTCCCCTCCTGCTCTTGCCTCCCCTAGCTCATTGTCCCTGCGGTCAACTGGTCTGATCTTGCTCTCTGCTGGCTCTTTCCCCTTTTGCTGAGGTGCTACAGACACCGTGGATGAAATCCTTCCTGAGATGGCTCCTGCCAGATGGGAGCAGAGGTGGACTGACAGTATTGTAGAGTTGTCGACAGACTTAGTTTAGAAGTTTGATTAATCTCATAATACCTTGACTAGCACCTAGATTTTGATAATTGTGTAATTACTGCCTTTATAAATAGTGCTTTCAAATAACTGATGATTTCTATAGTCAGAGATCTTTTTCCTTTGCTAAATTATAGTGGGAGCATATTAAGTTAATTTTATCTGACTCTTTGAATGATGCTCTCATCCTTTAATGTATGGAAACATAACTGGGATTCAGTTGCAGTATAAAACTATCCTCAGTAATATTGACCTTGAAATGAAAACTTGGCACCAAATTTATTCAGGTAAATACTTTAAAAAAGTTTCTTCCTATTGTTACTTGAAGACTGTATTTAAGAAAGTCTTCAAAATTTAAGAGTTTGGATACCAAAGGGTTAAAAATACACATGTTTTTCTTTTGCTGAAGAAATTTTAGATGTTTGCTAATGTTGTCTGTACAAATGGACATTTAGTGATGCTTTTTTTTATCTTTTTTTTTTTTTTTTTAACGATTCCATGTATTTGCTTA